AAAAAAAAAAAAAGAAAGAAAGAAAGTTTCCAGCGTCCCACCGGTTTCGTGTCTGGGATGGGGATCTTCTCACTCAGGTAGGTCTCTCTGGGAGGCACTTGCTGTGGTCCTGGGCTGGTGGGGCTTGAGATGGAGCCATAGCTGGACCTGCTCAGCCTCTGGGGACCCTTGTCACCTGTGGGGGCGCATGAAGCATGGTGAATGTCCTGCCTCCTTAGTTAAAGCCACCTGTTCCCTTCCCATCTCCTCCTCCTGGAAAATTGGAGAAACTAAGGTCCCTGATCCCATCTTGGGTCCATCACCTCCACCCCTCGACCAAACATTCCAGATGTGTGGGACGTGGCAGCTTGCGAATCACTGTTCTCTCATGTGAGCACAGATGCCCAGAGGCAGATCTCCTGCCACAGAGGACGCAGAGAGACCCTGAGCTCTAAGAAGGGCAAGCTGAGGCCACATGTCTGCCCCTTGGCCGGATCCCCCACCCCCTCCAGCAGCCCAGAAAACTCCAGGGGCTTTGATCCATGGGCTTCAGACAAAGGAAAGGTAGACCCCTTAGGGTTGTGAAGGACTCCACCCCAGTGACAATGATCTGTCCAGAGCTGTGTTCTAGACCAGGACTCCCACGGGGGACCAGGGGCTTTCTTGCTTCCTCAAGTCTCCACCAGCCTAGTGACCTCCTCCATTCCACCCCTTAATCAGGCTCTGTCTCTAGGGGCCACTACTCACCTGTCATTGGGACAGCGACTTCAGGTACTCTGGGAGTGTGAGCAGTGCTCTGGGCAGCTCCTCAGCCTGCACCCCTTCTCTGGACGCTGCTGCAAGTGAGAGTGTGAGCCCACACCCTGTTACCCATCCGCAGCTGAGGGCCCTGCCTCTTACATCAATATTCACTTCACAGCTGCAGATTCACACACACACACAACATGGGGCATTGTGAAACATTTTCCAAAGGCAGAAGTGGGCAGCCCTGGCGGAAGGTTCTGGTCACCCATGGAGTGGACCTTTGTTCCCCTCCCAGTCTGCCCTATGCCCCACAACACAACTGTTCCCCTTCCAGGCACCTCATGTTCTGTGCCTCCCAAGCTAGCTCTGATTTCAGACACTTCCTGCCCCTTGTGCATTCATGTCAATATCCCATCACCACACCCCCCTTTGCCCCCCGCCACACACACACACACACACACACACACACACACACACACATAGTGGTAGACCTTTCTTCTCCTCTTTGATTTGGAGTTCCAAGGCCCCTGGTTGGCCTAATTCAAGTCTTCATGTCCTCAAAGGCCTCAGTTTCCCTTTGAGGGCCTCAGAGGAAAGGCACTGCAGAAGGGATATGTATTAAAAATTCAGGCTGAGGATGTCCCAGAAGATAGGACACTGGGATCTGGTCCTGGTTCAACCACTGATTCACTTGAGATTGTCACTAGATCATGTCCCTTCTCAGAGTTGTTTATTCTATTTATTTCCCCTTTTGTTTTTTTAGAGACAAGGTTTTGCCCTGTCACCCAGGCTGGAGTGAAGTGTGAAGTGCAGTAGTGCTATCATAGTTCACTGCAGTCTCAAACTCTTTTTTTTTGAGACTGAATCTCGCTCTGTCACCTAGGCTGGAGTGCAGTGGCACCATCTCAGCTTACTGTAACCTCCACCTCCCAGGGTGATTCCCCTGCCGCCGCCTCCCCAGTAGCTGGGACTGCAGGCACATACCACCACACCTGGCTACTTATTATTATTATTATTATTATTATTATTATTTTGAGATGGAGTTTTGCTCTTGCTGCCCAAGCTGGAGTGCAATGACACAATCTCGGCTCCCTGCAACCTCTGCCTCCCAGGTTCAAGTGATTCTCCTGCCTCAGCCTCCTGAGTAGCTGGGATTACAGGCATCCACCACCATGCCTGGCTAATTTTGTATTTTTAGTAGAGATGGGGATTTCTCCATGTTGGTCAGGGTGGTCTCAAACTCCTGACCTCAGGTGATCCACCCATCTCAGCCTCCCAAAGTGCTGGGATTATAGGCATAAGCCACCACGCCTGGCTAATTTTTTGTGTTTTTAATGGAGACAGGGTTTCACCGTGTTAGCCAGGATGGTCTAACAGCATGTTAGCCAGGATGGTGGAAAATTCACACATTTGGTGTCAGAAGTGCCGAGAGTAGAGAAACAGAATTTTTCCTTCTAGAGAGGTTTTCAGACCCAGATTTGACCTGGGTTATAATTTATCCCTATGTTAAGTCAAAAACCTTTTTTTTTTTTTTTTTGAGTCAGAGTCTCACTCTGTCACCCAGGCTGGAGTGCAGTGGCATGATCATGGCTCACTGTATCCTCAAACTCCCAGGCTCAGCCTCCTGAGTAGCTGGGACTAGAGGCACATGCCACCAAGCCTGCCTAATTTTTGTAGAGACATGGTTTTAAAATGTTGCCTAGGCTGATCTCAAACTCCTGAGCTCAAGCGATCCGCCTGCCTCAGACTCCCAAAGTGCTGGGATTACAGGGTTGAGCCACCTTGTCTGACCCAGTCAAAAACTTAGATGAAGTTTGGGAGGCTAGGGTGGGAGAAGCAGCCAATTTTACGGATCCTCATGGATGGGAGAGGCTGGAGGAACTATAGAGGTGTGGGAAGAGGGATGAATGATGGGTTCAGTGAGGTGACAGCAGCATTGTGGTTTGTCACTCACTGTGCAATCCTATTGCTCATGGTACTGTTACCATCCCTTGCCTCAGAAATTTGCATGGATTTCCTAATCACTGTTTTGGGCTCATATGGGGATGACTGGGGTTGAGGCTGGAATGTCTTCCCTTTTTGCATCTTTTGTGGGACCTAAGTTAGGAACTCGGTAAGTGTAATTGATTAGCTGTTGATTAATACCCTGCACAACCTCTAACTTAAAGAAGAGGCAATAGGCCGGGTGCTGTGGCTCACACTTGTAATCCCAGCACTTTGGGAGGCCGAGGTGGGCATATCGCAAGGTCAGGAGTTCAAGACCAGCCTGACCAACATGGTAAAATCTCCCCGTCGCTACTAAAAATACAAAAATTAGCCTGGCATGGTTGCGCACTCTTGTAAGCTCAGATACTCAAAAGGCTGAGGCAGGAGAATCGTTTGAACCTGGGAGGCAGAGGTTGCAGTGAGCCGAGATTGTGCCACTGCACTCCAGCCTGGGTGACAGAGCAAGACTCCATCTCAAAAAAAAAAAAAGCAAAAAACAAAAGAGGCCATATAGTGTAATAGTTAAGAGCAGAGGTCCTAGGCTACATAAGAGAGCAGGAAGCTACATGAAGAGCTATAGAAATCTGCATGGGGCCAGGTGCAGTGGCTCACGCCTGTACTCCCAGCACTCTGGGAGGCTGAGGCAGTTAGAGCACCTGAGGTCAGGAGCTCAAGACCAGCCTGATCAACCTGAAGAAACCCTGCCTCCACTAAAAATATAAAATTAGTCAAGCGTGGTGGCATGTGCCTGTAATCCCAGCTACTTGGGAGACTGAGGCAAGAGAACCACTTGAACCCAGGAGGCAGAGGTTGTAGTGAGCCAAGATTTCACCATTGCACTCCAGCCTGGGCAACAAGAGAGAAACTCGGTCTCAAAAAATAAAATAAAATAAATAAATAATAAATCTGCATGGATTTACCCTTGGATCTGGAGCTGTTGCTGAATGCTAAACCTTGCATGTTTGGGGTGACAGTCCATGATGTCTAATTCACTCAAAACTCCATATATCGCTAAATATAAAATGTTTAGTTAAAAACATCGGAGAAAATCTTTAGGACCTAGGGCTAGACAAAGACTTCATAGACTTGATATGAAGACCATGATCCATAAAGGGAAAACTTGATAAATTGAACGTCACCAAAATTAAAAACTAATTAAAAGCTTTTGCTTGGTGAAAGACTCTGCTACGAAGATGAAAAGACAGGATACAGATTTGGATGACATATTTGCAAGTCACATATCTGACAAAGGTCTAGTATCTAGAAATATAAAAATATCTTAAAATTCAACAGGCTGGGTGTGGTGGCTCATGCCTGTAATCCCAGTACTTTGGGAGGCTGAGGCAGGCAGATCACCTGAGGTTAGGAGTTCGAGACCAGCCTGGCCAACATGACAAAACCCCATCTCTACTAAAAATACAAAATTAGCTGGGTGTGGTGGCAGGTACCTGAAATCCCAGCTACTCAGGAGGCTGAGGCTGGAGAATCACTTGAACCCAGGAGGCGGAGGTTGCAGCCTGTAATCCTAGCACAGCATTTTGGGAGGGCAAATCACAGGAGGTCAGGAGATAGAGACCATCCTGGCCAACATGGTGAAAGCCCGTCTCTACTAAAAATACAGCAGTGTGAGGTGGCTTACGCCTGTAATCCCAGCACTTTGGGAGGCTGAGGTGGGCAGATCACGAGGTCAGGAGTTCAAGACAAGCCTGACAAACATGGTGAAACCCTATCTTTACTAAAAACAAAAATAAAAAAATTAGCTGGGTGTGGTTGGTACGCACCTGTAATCCCAGCTGCTCAGGAGGCTGAGGCAGAATAATTGCTTGAACCCGGCAGGCAGAGGTTGCGGTGAGCCCAGATCACCCCACTGCACTCCAGCTTGGCAACAGAGTGAGACTCCATCTCAAAAAGAAAAAAAAAATTAGCTGGGCATGGTACAAGTGCCTGTAATCCTGGCCACGTGGGAGGCTGAAGCAGGAGAATCCCTTGAACCCAGGAGGCAGAGGTTGCAGTGAGTCAAGATGGGGCCACTGCACTCCAGCTTGGGCAACAAGAGCGAGACTCCATTAAAAAAAAAATTAATTAATTTAAAAAATAAAATAGTGACCACACCAAATGTTAGCAAAGATATGGAGAAACTAGATCACTCATGTGTTGCTCATGAGACTATAAAGTGGTAGTCTGAAAAAATGTATATAAGTTTATTTTTAATTTTTTTTTGGAGATGGAGTCTTGCTCTGTGGCCCAGGCTGGAGTGCAATGGTGAGATCTTGGCTCACTGCAATATCCACCTCGTGGGTTCCAGTAATTCTCCTGCTTCACCCTCCCAAGTAGCTGGGAGTACAGGCGTGCACCACCATGCCCAGCTAGTTTTTGTATTTTTAGTAGAGATAGGGTTTCACTATGTTGGCCAGGCTGGTCTCAAACTCCTGACCTCAGGTGATCCGCCTGCCTTAGCCTGCCAAAGTGCTGGGATTAGAGGTGTGAGCCACCACGCCTGGGCCTAAAATTTTTTATTTTTATTTTATTTATTTATTTTTTGTTATCCAGTTTCTGTGGAATTATTTAATTTTTAATTATTATTTTATTTTATTTTTTAGTGACAGGGTCTCGTTCTGTTGTCCACATTGGAATGCTGTGGCACAATCGTAGCTCACTGGAACCCCGAACTCCGAGGCTCAAGTAATCTTCCCACTTCGGCCTCCCAAGCAGCTGAGACTATAGGCATATGCCCCCATAGTCAGCTTATTTATCTATTTATTGCAGAGACAGGATCTTGCTATATTACCCAGGCTGGTCTTGAACTCCTGGGCTCAAGCGATCCTCCTATCTGGTCCTCTCAAAGTGCCAGGATTACAGGAACTAGCCACCACACGCAGCTCCTGTAAATTTCTTAAAACCAAACATGTGGTCAGGTGCGGTGGCTCACACCTGTAGCACTTTAGGAGGCTGAATCAGGTGGATCACTTGAGGTCAGGAGTTCAAGACCAGCCTGGCCAATATGGTGAAACCCTGTCTCTACTAAAAATATAAAAATTAGCCAGGTGTGGTGGCAGGCACCTGTAATCCAAACCACTCAGGAGGCTGAGGCAGGAGAATCGCTTGAACCCAACAGGTAGAGGTTGCAGTGAGCTGAGATCATGCCACCATACTCTAGCCTGTACGACAGAGCAAGACCCCATCTGAAAAAAAAAAAAAAAAAGAACAAAACATTGATACAGACAGTAAAATGGATGAATCTTCAGGAAATTATTCTGAGTAAAAAAAAAAGTCAATCTCAAATGGTTACATACTGTATTATTACATTTATGTAACGTATTTGCAATGACAAAATTTTAGAAATGATAATCAGATTAGTGGTTCCCAGCGGTTAGGCATGGGCAAGGAGGCGGTGTGTGGTTATAAAGGAGTGACTCGAGGGATCCTTGTGATTTCGGGAGTTTTCAGTGTCTTGATGATGGTGGTGGAGACACAAACACATATGATGAAACTTTACAGAACTGAAGATACCCACATTCACGCATGCACACGCACATATACAAAAACGAGTGAAAGAAAAAGTGGGGACATCTGAAAAACATCGATGGGATTGTGTAAATGTCAATATCCTGGTTGTATTGAAAACAGGGATTCAAACACACATTTGTACACGCATGTTCGCATGTTCACAGCAACATTATTCACAGCAGCCAACAGATGGAAATTATCCAGT